GCAGCACTGTCTTGGGAGGGAAGGGGCCTGGTTTCCTTTTGGATGACACTAAACAGAAAGGTCCATGCTCCAGGAGCAAGCTGAGTGTACTAAATATCAATGGAAAGTGCTTATAAACTGTAACAGATTTAAGAAGCATGAGCTTGTACTGTACAAAGAACTTGCTTTTCTTGTGCCTGTTACGTGTTCCCACCTGTTCAAATAGCAAGTGACACTCTCCTCCCTGCTGCCCCCATCATCCTTCCCCTCCTCCCTCCTTCCCCCCCTCGAGCAATTTCATTTCTGCCGCAAAGCAAGCTGGAGGAATTTGAAATTTGGACTCTGCTGATGCCAATCCTTCTTAATTTTTTTTAATAATTTGTTTTGAGAATTGCAGTACAGAGTGTTAGGGAAGGAAGCTATTAAAAACTGCATATAAGGTCAGACTGTTTTTAATGTATTAATTTTGTCCTTCGTTTGCATAGAAGACAGTTAGATCTGGACCTAACTAGCAACTCCCTAGAAGGTACAAAGGTGGACAGTTAAAGAAATTAAAACTTCAAGTCCACCAGAGAGATTACAAAGTAGAAAACAGGTTAGCAAACTCGCATTTGCTGATTCTCAGGCTCAGCAAATGCCAATCTGGATCACCCTGAAAACCTATTTTCTATTTCAGATCCCCAAATGACAAGGAAGTTTTAGCTATTGGTAGCAGAAACATCACTAGACCCAAAGGCAGTCTTTGTCAACTAAAGCTACAGCTGCATCTGCAAGTTAAACATGTCTGCTTTATTCTCCTAGGTAATAGCTCAGCAAGTTTCAGAGGAGAATTTACAGGAAGGTCGTCTGTACCCTCCGTTAGTCACTATCCAGCAGGTGTCACTGAAAATTGCTGTGAGGGTAAGTCATTTCAGTCTTCGGTGGCTTCATTTCTTCCAACACTCTACATAATTAAGCATTTTATTTGATCATCTAACACACCTTCCTACAAGTTGAAGTTGATTACAGGAATCTTGGACAAGTAGCACTTGAGAGCTAAGGAGAGCAGGAAGGAGACCACCTTCCTTTTCTTTGGAGATTTGGCCTTTGCCAAGTACACTTTGAGGTAGATATTGCCCAAGAGTGCTGCTGCGTCAAACCGCTCTGTCCAACTCCTTTTGTGTCACTGATCAGTGCCCAGTCAAAAGATACACATTTCCCAAGCAGGTGTTCTTCAGATGTGAGGGGCTACTTTGATGTGTTGAGTGGGCTCCAGCCCCTTCTAAACATTGTTTTTGTTGCAGCTGTACTTGTGATGCATAATTTATTCACCTAGGTATGGTCTGGGTGAGGAAAAAGCAAGGAAATATTCAAATTTCCTCCAGGCACTGCTGGAATTGAACCTTCACGCTGTGTAGGAGTGAGTTTATCTTTGAGAAATACATTCTAAAAAACTATAGCAAATAAACTTCTTTCATATGCAGGGAGCATGGAGCTTTGAACAAATCCCACTTCTCGTACGGTGCTTTGAAGAAGGTGGCAAAACAGGGTAACCTGGTGATAGAAAAGCAAAAATTTTGCTTGGGGTTTGTGGAGTATTTTAACTACTGCTGTACCAATGCAAGCTAAAATATTAATGGACAAGCAGTCTATTGGGAACAGCAAAGACTCATAATCCTGTTGGGAAGTAGCACGGTTCACACTCACTGACAAGCAAACATCATCCTGCTCCTGGTCTTATTCACTGTATACTGGCCCGACTAGTGTGAATTATGTGACCATCAGCACCTGAGAAGGTCAAGTCTTGTCTTGAATTTGAACTTTTAAATCCTGTCAAACGTACTCAAATAGTTTATTGGCACTAATTAGGATTTTCATGCATCTCTCCAGATTGCAGAAGAAGCCTACAGGAATAACACTGCCTCCACCTACCCTCAGCCCAAGGACCTAGAAGCCTTCATCCGCTCCCAGATGTACAGTACTGATTATAACAGCTTTGTGGCTGACTCTTACACCTGGCCAGAAGAAGCCATAAAAGTGAAACTGTAAATATTTAATGAAGAACGAACAAAGCAGCAGCAGTTAAAAATCATTAAAATATTCAGAACATTTCTGCCTAGGACGCCTAAGAATAGCTAATTTTTTAAGATGCAGAAAACTTTTTCTAAATTGTAATATTTGGTTAGAAACTCAGATCAAGAAATATTAACTCTACATCAGAAAATAAAAATTAAACTGAGAAATATATTTGTGTAGTTTTTTGATTATTTTGAGATATCCTGCACTATAGTTTGATAGATCTTTTGTTATAAAACTAAGTGGTTATATCTTGAATTGAGAGTTTTGTCTCTGAGAAATGAAGCAGACAAATAGCACCATGAAAAACTAAGAAATGCACGTGACGATGGCTTAATGCATTACAGGTCAGTGCAATTTGCATAAATTGTCAAGCTATTATATAAAGGAACCCAAAACTTTTAACAACAGTAAGGTTAGAATGTTTTCCACCTTATTGACCTTATTGGTCACTCCTCTGTGGGGTAAGGAAAACTTTATAATGAGAACTGAACCTGCAGACCCCTTTGTTCACATCTAATTAGAATATTTTAACATTCTTAAAGTCCAGTAAGAGATGAAAGATTTCCTTGCCCCACCAAGGTAACTGCTGTGCTGATACACTGCAATTGTTTGGCCTGAAGTTCATGGAAGTGCTTGGACTCCATGTTCTTGACAAAAAAGGAGTATCAAAATATTACTCACAGGCTTCTTTTTGACTAAGAATTTTCTTACAAACATCAGTTGTCTGGCTAGCAGTAGGGTTTTTCCTCTATTAAACCTAATTAATTCCTGTAGTATTTGAGGCCAATGTATTTTTAAGCACACATCCTATGTGATATATTTGTAACAAACTCCCAAACAAGGTCTACTAGGTCTACTAGGTGAACAATTATTATAGAGATGAGAGTATATAATTATGAGGGAAACACACATTTTATTAAATTTTTTATATTTATTGAATATTTAACTCAGGTTCTTCAGTATGGTCTTTAAAATAATTTTTACAAATGTACTGATAATCCAGCATGCTGAATATGTTCATCTACAGACTAATTTCCACTAAGATATAGTTATTTTGCCTATTCTCATCTGTCAACCAGTTATCAAAACTGGTATCTGGCAGTGACCCTTATTCTATAAAAAAGTTATTCTGTCTGCAAACCTCACTGGAAGTATCCAGGGACAGTGCTGATGACCTGTATTATTCTGGATTCATAATTAACATTTCCAGAAATAAAAGTCCTGAGTCTGTGCTTTTCTTTGGGACGATGCAAAATTGGATTGTATTATTGTGGTTTCCTCCTTTAGAAAAAAATGAACAAAGCTTGTGCTGAGAATAAAGCTTCAGACAGCTCTAACTCCAGATGGTTTGACCATCTTCCTGCACAGCCTCTGGCCTATGCCAGTGTTGCCTTTCCCGTCTCCTTCTTGTTGAAATCTCAGGGAGAAGGCCTATTTCTAAACTGGTTTGTTTTGCTGCTTCAAATAAAAATTTTGGAATCTCAGCTAACACATGAATGTTCTAAAAAGAAACTTGAAGAATTATTAGTTGTTACAGAATTACCACTCCAAGAAAAATATAATATACTTTCTGGACAATTCTAGAAACAAAGTGTATTTGAACATTTTTTCTGCCATCATGCTATAGAGATTATCTCTACAAAACCAGAAATTGGCTTTATTTGTGCAGCCCTTCAGCTCTGCCACAGCTGCAGAATTCTCAAAGAGGTGCTTTCTCCCTTGTAGTGTAACAGGGACCTGTGAACGTGCTTTTGGACAAAGTTATGATCATATGAATTACACAATTACCACAGTGAAGGCATGTACATTCAACATCATTCTGAGCAACCAGGAATACTGCTCTCCTCTGTATTTCAGTATATTACTATTGTAAGTATTAAAGCACTTCCTTGTGCATTATTTTAAATAACAGCTGTTATTTTCTAGTCATCAGCTGAGGGTACTGGCACAGTGTCTGAACAGCTGCTGTCGGAATGGCCTGGTTTTCAGATTCCAACAGCCAAACCTCTACAGCTCAACACTATGACTGCTTTTAATGTTGTGGTGCTCCATGACAAAGAGGAGGGTGGCAAGTTGGTGGTCCTTTAAGGCACAGCTCCTGGGGACTGCTCAGTAGTGTCCTTCATCTACATATTGTATTGGAGCCATTTATATATGATAATGCATTATAAACTGGAACTGAACTGTGATCACTAAACTTGGCACACTACCCTGTAGGAAAGCACTGCCTAATGAGCCATTAATATAATTTCCTTTTGCAAGGTGTTGGAACATTGTCTCTCAGTACTAATTAGACATAAAAAAAAACATTAGTAAAATTATATGTATTTTTATTCAATATAAATAGTTTTTTCATTTTTCTGTATTACCCACAGCATGTAAGGGGATGGGTGATGTGGGGTTCTGCCTCCTGCCCCCCCTGCCCTTCATATAAAAGCAAAACTTGGTTCTGTGGTTGGACACAAACCTTTGCATTTTATGGATTAGTGGAATGAAGTGAGAGCAGATGCTTCAGTAGAAGACATTGCACACAGCCAGTCATTAATGTCCTGGTGAGATTTCCTTTTGTACTGGAAACCATGTTACTCTGTGGCTGCAGCTACTCTGGCATCCCACAGTGGCAGGTAGGCGTTCGCTACAGGTCTGCACTACAGCTCCATAACCAACAGCACATGGAGATGAGGAGATAGGAATGTGTCATTCAGGATACAGTCTGGGATTTCTACCACCTTGCGAGCGCTCTGAGGCATTACTTAGAGTGAAAATGCAAATTTTAGAGTCTCAGTAAGTTAACACCTCTCAAAAATATGTGGCAAGTACAAACAGCAGCTAAGATTAACTATTTGAACCATTCTTCTCATATGTTAAACAATTCTCCTTTACACAGGAGCTGTCAGGCACAATATTTCAATGTTCACATCACCTCTTGCTGTCCAAAATTAGATTTTCTTACACAGCTTCTTTTATTTGTCTGCAGGTTTGCCTTCGACACCAAATAAAATCTGAAAAATATGTCCACTTTGATGTTGTTTCAGGAATTCCAGGAACTGGCCAAGATCCATGTGATAGTCATTCCTCAGGCCATAATCACCATGTGCCTGAAACTGCAGGTCTTCAAAACCATGAAAAAGACGAAGATTATTGATACTTCCCTCTGTTTCTATATTCTCCACATGCTTGCATGAAATATGCTTCCACTGGGGATACCTAATATCATGCCAGAACTCTTCACAGTTTTCTCGGTGTCCTTCCACACAGATGACACCAGGTTTCCCTGTTAGGCAGAAGCCAGTCAGATTTAACTTCTTTGCACAGTCAAAAATCTTTTTCCTCAGTTCCTGCCTGTAGATGTGATGGCTGTAGATCCACATGCGGTGCAAGGTTTCTTTAACTACGACTTCTTTTGAAACCCTTTCAGAAGACACCTTGCTGCTCTCCAGGTAAGACAGGCTGTTGTCTTTCACCCATTGCACAGCTTCATAGATACACAGTTCACCTGAACCCAAAGAACTGATGTAAGAAGCAAGACCAGTGTTGAGCTGCAGCTGTTGCTGTCTGTGCAGTGCATCTGATCTTGCAAAAAGGTGAGGAGCTACATGAGGATACCTATGAGGCAGCACTACCTGCAGTTCCACTTTTACCTTAAAAAAAAGAACACACACACAAAAAAGAAAATTAATTCTGGAGCTACTGAAAGACATGCTAGACTCTTCTTCAATGACAAAGGCAGATTATGAGATGTAATTAAGACTGCAACATCCTAAAGACTGGAATAACTTCTTCCATTTTCCTTTTGTCTGCTTTTTTCCTTTTGTTGCACCATGCTGGGACTTCTCCAACATAGCTAATGTTTATGATGGTACATATTGCATATAGAGGCATTATGATTGTTTTAAGCAAGTATTCACCCTAACAAAGGAAGCATTAAAAAAGATTTACATCCATTTTAGGCCAGAAGAACCTCTAAATGATTTCACCTGATCTCCTACAAACCACAGGCTGTTGCATTTCTCTTGATTATTTCTACAGTGTCTTAAAATGAAGCACCTCAGTTCTTTGGAAGCTGACAGTTCTTTGGACCCTGCCTCTGGTCCAAAAGCAGGAGGGAATTCATGTGCCTTTCTTGTCCAAATCAAGTTAAGACTCAAATAAATAATTAAAAGCAAAGAGTTTTTTGTTACTCTTGACTTCTGAAACAGCAAACATAAACTGAGGGGAGAGTGAGTTTCCACCTTTCTTTCAGTGCAGCTTTTAAGTGTCTGCACTAGGAGTAAACAAAACCACACACATAAACACATCTAGGTGGAATTTCTCACCTGTGCCTCCCCTACATCAACAGCAATGGAACATTCCAGCTGTGGGGGCAGAGCTCCATCAGGGTTCCTCAGGTAGCGCTGCATGCAGGGCACAGCATCCTCATCCAGATTTATTTCACCTTTCTTGGGAAACATTGAAAGGAGCATTTCCATTTCCAGCAGCTGGAGCTCCAGGCACTCTTGTACTCTGACAGCCATGGCACTGCCCTCTCCTACAGCACCTGGAACAAGATGTCTGGAGTCAAACTGCAGGCTGTAACACACAGGAAGGTACCATCCTGTGCAATAGACCAAGCCAGCCTCTACTGGGAAATCCCACTACTTTTAAGGACAGAATTAGTCAAGGGAGGTGATTCTCCCCCTCTGCTCCACTCTCATGTGACACCACCTGGAATACTGTGTCAAGTTCTGGAGCCCCAAACACAAGAGGGACATGGAGCTATTGAAGCAAGTCCAGAGGAGGACCATGAAGATGATCAGAGCTGGAGCATCTCTCCTGTGAAGACCGGGTGAGAGAGTTGGGGTGAGAAGGTTCCAGGGAAACTTTATAGCAGCCTTCCAGTACCTGAAGGGGCTACAGGAAAGCTGGGGAGGGGTTTATACAAGGGCTTGTAGTGATAAGTCAAGGGGTAATGCTTTTAAGCTGAAAGAGTGAAGATTTAAGTTAGACATTAGGAAGAAATTATTCAGTGTGAGGGTGGTGAGGCACTGGAACAGGTTGCTCAGAGAAGCTGTGGATGCCCCATCCCTGGAAGTGTTCAAGGCCAGGTTGGATGGGGCTCTGAGCAACCTGGTCTGGTGGGAGGTGTCCCTGCCCGTGCAGGGGGGTTGGAACTGGGTGATCTTTAAGGCCCTTCTCAAGCCAACCCATTTTACGATTAACTACGAGCGGGTACAAAAGGCTA